TCCCAAAACGTAGACCGACTCAGCCAGGTCTAGCAGTGCGAGGTTTAGCAAAAGGTGATGCGCGATATGATACCGTTAAGCGTGAACAGGCAAAGAAACTGTTGGGTTTTGTACGCATTGTTGAGGTGCTCAGTAAGGGCGAGTGTCTTTTAAATTTCAGTGCAAAGTTCATATGTTTAAGTCGAATTTTTACGTTTGAACCTAGGTCGACCTGTATTCGAGTATCTCAACTTCTGGGCCCGAGTCGCGAATTCTCTTTTCACAAAAATCACATGGCACATCAAAGTTCGAATATCGAGGTTCAACTTTATACACTCACTTCCGAGTCGCGTTCAACATTCGTAGGTTACCCGGTTCTCATGCCTTAACAGCGCGCCACGTATGCTTCGTGCGACACGGTGACACGAGGGCTAAAAATAGCCCTCGTGGCCAATTTAAAAATCAACTCATTCTCGCAACAATGACCAACATTCAACTTCTACGCTTTCTCGGCATCGTGTGGCAGGGTACCTGCGACTGTTCCTGCTGCCAGTATCTATCGCCATTGGTACTGCGCTGCCAACACTCGTCGCTGCATTTTCTCTCTGCCAGACACGTGCGTTCGTAAGGGGTGACCGTCTTGACTCTCGCATGCGCTGGTTTCGTCTCATCAGCATCCTGCCCGATGGAATTTTTTATGAATACATGCGCATGGATAAGCCCACTTTCACGTACCTGGTGAGGCAATACCAGCGCAGCAGGTTTGCAACGCGGCAGAACAAAGTGTACAACTTTGTGCACATTGAAATGGCACTCAGCAAACTGGGCCACGGGTTGTCCTTCCGCCAAATCGGTCTGCATTTTGGGTACAGTTACTCGTACACCCAGAAATTGTTCACCCGCTTCCTGAAGTTCATGGAGACGGTTTTGTCACCAACGTGGGTTGGGTGGCCTGACATGGAAATGTTTCGTGTGATGGAAATAGAATTTCGTGCATTTGCTGGCATTCCTGGCGTGGTGGGTGCAATGGATGGGACCTACATACTCTGTCGTGGGTTTGGGCCCCACCGTGAAGATTTCAGAAACAGAAATGGTTTTTTTTTTTCGATTATACTGCAGCTAATTTGTGACAGCAACGACCTTATTTGGGACTTCTTCGTCGGCTGGCCTGGGAGCGTCAGCGACGCTCGAGTCTTCCAGAACAGCCCTGCACGGACGAGAACTGAAGAGGGGGGTTTACTGGACTACGTTATTGTTTCTGACGCGGCATACGACCTGCGCCAGTATCTCTACACACCCTATCGAGCAACTACTGGCCGCCACCTGCCTGACGAGCAGCGGGTCTGGAACCTGCAACAGTCACGGGCACGGATGGTGGTCGAACAAGTGAACGGCCGACTGAAGACAAAGTGGCGCCTTCTTGACGGCCGCCTCTGTCGAAGATCAAGGCCCCGCCCTCGCTTGGGCGCAGCCAATCTCGCCGTCGACGAGAAGTCCTCGACGGATTGGTCGTCGAAGTGGGCTTCTGCGGTTCGACGGAGGTAGCGGTCGAGCAAGCTCTGCTCGACGTAATTTGGTCGACATCGTCGAGGGGTAGCGCTGGTCGAAGACAGCGGTCGAGGAGGCCCGTCGAGGAGCGATGGTCGACGAGGTCCGTCGAGGAGCGCTGGTCGACGAAGCTCCGGTCGAGCTTGCGTCGAAGATCTCCGTTCGAGCTCTGGTCGAAGAGCCCCGTCGAAGAGCGCTGGTCGACGACCGTGGTCGACGAGCCCGTCGTGAGCTCTGGTCGACGAGCTCTGCGTGACGAGCTCTGGTCGACGAGCTCTGCGCGACGAGCTCTGGTCGACGAGCTCTGCGCGGCGAACGCTGTTCAACCGAGTGACGTCGAGCTGTTCGACCGAACTCGCAGAGGTGTGCGAAACTCTCCGGAGGTGTGCGAAACTTCGCCCAGGAGGTTTTGGCGAAGTTCGACCTGCGGAACGGCATCACGTGCTCGTCGGTGGGCACCTGGCAAAACCGACGACACGTTTCTACCTGGCACCTGCGCAAAGTGCCTGATGGTGAAACCGTCAACCAGCACCTACTCGGTAGGTGCGCACATGTGCGCAGATAGTCACCTGTGACTGCAGATAGTCACATGCGACTGCCGTGCTGGCAGACCGCGCGCAGTGCAACGCTGGCAGATCATTCTGCTGCAACGTTGGCAAGCCGCTCTTCTGTTGCACTGGCAGATTTCCCCCTGCAGAGTGCTTGCTAGGTGTTGCATGCCATTCTTGCTATATCGTTTTGCATGCCTCATTGTAACCAATGTTCTTTCATTTTTCTTAGTGAAACTCTTGCCAAAATTCTCTGTGAACACAAGCAAGAAGTAAGAACGTTAGTGCAAGCTACGATCACTCGCACAACCCCGTGCCTTCCACCACAGTCCACTCCCGTTGTGTAGTGACTCTCCGCAGCCTCGAGTGCGATATCTTCCGTGCACCGCGCTACGTGGCAGCGTGCGTGACCCTGCTCAACATCGATCTGGTGCTCGGGGCTCGACCGCGACTGGAGGAGCCACGCGAGCGTAATCGGTGGTGGGAGCAGGGTCCAGCTGCACAAGTACCGCACTACTCGCCAAGCTCCGAGGGCTTCACGCTGACCCGCCGCCGTCAGCGTCTGGCAAGTTACCTTACACTTCTTGGCGTCTGGGGCATCCGAACCTGTCTGCACCAGCTCTCGGGTGAGTTCCATGAAGTGCTCGAAATTTTCGCGGAACAGTCCGTTCGCGGAACAGTCCGCCCATAGTCCCTGCAATGCGCGTAGCTATTTCGTTGCACTGAGCCGCGTCCACCCCAGTCAGTTGGCCTTCGCCTTCCATGCCCTGCATTTCTGTGTCCGCAGCCGAAGGCCGAGGCCAGCGAACGACGTGGTGCCCGCGCAGCGACAGACCCGCACGCGCACCGGCTCCCCGTGAGAACGGCGGGGATGCCTCCGTCACATTGGTCGACGCGGGGCGAGCATGGGAAGTAGCGGGTGGTGCCGGCGGTGAAACGAGGAGCGTGGTGCAAGATGGGGACGGTGCCGCCACCGTAGCCAGAGGCGGAGTGCCTGACCCCACACCCTCGGTCGTTGGACCTTGATCTACAAAGGCAGGTCACAAGTAGAAGGGGTGGGGCGAGAAATTTGTTTAGAGCAACCGATGGCTTCACCGTTGTACTCATGCATCGTTATCATTGAAATATTGTTGCTCTAGTGTGTGCACCGAGTACCCCAGTAACGAACATACATGCAATGGCGGGCGTAGAGGGAGGTGAGAAAATGACGTTGGCTTCGGGTAGACTCCCAGCAAGAGCAGGGGGGCGAGCGTTGGCACGATCGTCGAAGATGCGATCATAGATTTCGAAATAGATGGGGATCTTGGGCGGGCGACCCTTACTCGAAACCTCCAGAAAGAGGTCCCTTACTTTGCGGTAATGAGCCTCCATGCATAACAATTTGGCTTTCACCGCTGCGAACTTGTGGCGGAACGCCGGGTGGCGCCGTTTCAACTCTTCCCAAACTGTGACATTACAGTTCTGACCCTGCATGCGAGTCTGATTGCGGAAATCATCATCCTTGTCATGGCGCACCCACGCGAGTTGCATAACCTCCGCGTCTTCCCAACCGCGTTTGTCTCCCGTCATCGCATGTTCACCTTCCTCTTCAGCGTGCTCGTCAACGTCCGTTTCAACCTCGCCCGCGTCGAAATAAGCGAGCGTGTCGTCGGCGGCGATTATGGGTTCGTTGGGATCGGGCGCTTGAAGAACTATAGTGTCGAAGTCGATCACATCCAGGCGGCGGCTAGTGCCTGACTGGGCAGTGAGACGATTACGGCGCTGCTGAGGCCTAACATTCGCTGGTGCTGAAGTAGAGGCAGTGGGCCTGAACGAGGAGCCAGGGTCGCTGTTGCCTACGTTGGATCCTGGATTCATAGCTGCTGTGCTTGACGAGTTGTAAGTTTGGAAGGTTACACATTGGTTTTTGGAGCCATTTCTTGAACCGCCTGTTGATGTTCGTGCCGCGCATGCAATTCCCAAATGTTTGAAATGTAAAGATATTTCGCGCCAAATGAGTTCGAAGCGCTCATGCCTAGAAGTAGCCGTGGCGAACTGTTCGTTTCGTGCCACGTACCCTTCCCACGTGGATGTTCGCGACCCCAGCCACCCTCTATTTGGTTTCGGTAGTGCGTGCGATGTGTTTTGCGACTGTCGCGTACTTCGCATTTTCAGGATGCATGCCCAACAGGACACACGATTGACTTATCGTGCAACCAGAAATTCGTTCGTGAGTTCGACCCCAGTTTAGTGTCCAACCCCTTGTTCAAATTTAGAATTACGACACACAAGTCTCGCGAATAGCTATATGCGAAATTAACGAAGCGGGTAACCAGCCAAAGGTCGACCTAATTTTTTAACCTCTACACCAAAAGACATGCGCCCTAAAGGATATGAAAATTTTAATTTTAGGGTCAAAAACTTTTGAAATTGGATTAATGATACCGTATGAGAAACTTGTAAAATGACAAAATGAGGTGACGCTTGTCGCCCAATCAAATAAGCTCCCGCCAACGTTTAGGCTTGTTTGTTCAGGTTCGCGGTCTGTGTATACTGGTTAGCTTTGGAGCACAACCTAACCCTCCGATCAGCAGGCTCGGATCGAGCAGTTTTGGGGACATCCCTTGCCGACATCGGACGGCGGACCAAGTAACACCTCAATCCATCCCCTCCATGACCATACGACACTATCACCCATATGTCATGCAATGGTGCTGAAGGTTTCAGAATGCTTCCTCCTGCTTTTCCTGCTACTGCTGATGCGATGACCCAGCCAGCACCTTGAACGGATTTGCTTTGCGCCAAAAGCGGTTCGTTTCGTCAGGGTGTTCCTCCGTTCCTTGTCACGCAAGCATTCTAATCTATAAGGATTCAGAGTCCCTAAATGCACGGTTTCGGCAGACGCTATCCTGGTCCTTGAGCGTTTACAGCTTCCCCGAGCAGGCCATGGAGCAACCAGACGTGTCTCTTAGTCTTAAGCAGAAGCGACAAACATCCCTGCAAGAGGTTTGTGAAGTTTTTGCAGAATAGCCGTATAGTATCTTCAACCATTCGTCATTCACGACATGCGCTTTCAAACTGCGAGCTGAATTCGCAGACATGGAAGTCAACCGGTTTCCATTTGTGGTAGTTTCAACGCATTGCTGATCATTGTACACCTACTTCTACCTTCTTCATGTACTCAGGGGAAGTGTTCCAAGAACTATTGCCAAAATATATTTTTATGTCTGCGTATGCTTCATTTATCAGGCATTTCCAGTCAAGAAACCTAGGAGACAGGAGAAGGCAAGCGGTCCAGCTGACAAACAGGGGTTTTATCAGGTTCAGGCCGAACGATTACCGCCTGGTTTGTATGGGTTTTGATAGCTGGTTATTTGTTTTGCTTTGTTGTCATTGCTTTGTCAGCTCACTCATCTAATATATTCTTTCCTGTCAGGTAATGAGGGAGCTGCGACTTCTCCTGCAAAATCGACTAGGATTCCCACTGACATTGCAGATACATTTTACAGGTACGTTACACACCAAGATCGACAAACTCGAAATATTCATGGTTGTACTCTGATTTGAGGTGCTCGATTTTGTGAGAAGGAGGTAGTATCGTCCGTTTTGCTAACCTCCCTTTTGACTGCAGGCCTTCACATGCAAATGCTGGAGCTATATCCTCAATAGCTCTTGACGTTCGAGCCAGCGGACCAGGTGTGGTTTTTTTGGCAGTGAACTTTTAAAATATGTAAGTAGAAATATCGTACAGCATCAAATGATAACGTAATTGACAATCCCCGTCATTGCAGATCGAACTGCTGCAGTTGGCATTCGAGATCCTCAAGGCAATAATCTTCAAGCAGATTTTCCAGCGGATGCTTGTACGCTTGAAGGCGGAGCTGAAGTTAGCAGCAATGGGACCACTGAGACAGTCCCTGTACAGCATGATTATTCACGGCTTATCAGGAAGGAGAGCTCATCGCCAGAGGTTCTCTCAATGAACAGGGCATGTGGGACTGCACCGGAAGAGGTAACCCCACCAGATGCAATTGTACCTATCAGGAACTTTAACACAACTCTTCCCGTGCAGGGACATAATGAGACGACAAGGGAGGCGTTTATTTCTTCCCAAGATGGTGCAGCTATTGTCAAGACCGAAGCTGACGTTCCAGCAGGCAGTACATTCACCAAGCCTGCTTCTGAACAAAACTGTCAAGTTGATGTCAGTGAAAGCAGGGATGCACAAGATCAGCGTTATGTTACTCCAAAAGGCGAGCCAAGCGCAGGGATTGCTAATGGAAACGCTGGCAAGGCTGGCAGCACAGCTTCAGGAAGCCGACCATGGAGCATCAAGAACCACTCTCCGGGGGATTCGTTTTGGGAAAAAGCATTTGCAATGGTGGAAGCCGAAGCAGGAATCAATGATGTTAAGGAAGGTCCAGGAATGGCTCCTTCTATTGCTGCTGCTGTTTCTGGTTTAGATGTTCCGAGAGAAGGATGTGTTGGAAGGGACGAACCAGTAGCGAATGACAAGGGCAGTGCAAGCTGCGGAACGAGAACAAGGGGAGTCTTGGGTGGTTTTGGGAGCCCAAGGTTCCGCCAACGAACGGAAGCCATACCACCAGCATCAAGGCCTCTGTCTCCGGGATCTCTGGATCCTCTTCCAGTTCGGTACCTGGACTTCAGTGCGGAAAAACCTCCCCGTCCGCTGCCTAAGGGTGCAGCCGCAGCTCGTTCAGAAGGAGAAAAGAGCCTCAAAGTGGCGAAGAAACTGGAGCCAGATATTGCCCTGCAAGAAGATAAAGGGAAAGCATTGATGGAGCAGCCAGTAGGGAAAGAGCTGCTAAAGGGATCTGGCTCCCCCGGTTCTTCTGCGGCTACAGCTGACCTGCAACTCTCGGCATGGCTCCCTTCCCCAGCATGCAAGGCATATGCTCGCAAAGGAGTTACCAAAATGTATCCGTGGCAGGTATGATCATAAGATCAGCCAACTTTCAGCTGTGATGGTTTGACTGTGATTAACCAGTTTTATAATTTTTTTTCAGGTGGAGTGCTTGTCAAAAGAACGTGTGCTTCATGGGCAGAATCTGGTCTACAGCGCATCGACAAGGTGTTGTTTCCACAGTTGATTTGTCTCACTTTGTATGCTTATGTACTGATCTCCATACTCCTCGACTTGCAGTGCTGGGAAGAGTCTTGTTGCAGAGGTGTTGCTGGTGAGAAGGCTAATCGCGACTGGAAGGAAGGCATTGCTGGTGTTGCCATATGTCTCCATATGTGCTGAAAAGGTATTTGGGGATAAGACAAGTCATGACTCTTCGTCTCTAAGAGTAGCATTTCATCCTCAGAAAGAAGTTTAGACTCATGTGCAAATTTATTCGCTACTTTTGGCAGGCAGAACATATGGAGGCGGTGTTGGAACCTTTGGGCTATCGGGTGCGCAATTTCTTTGGTGCACAGGGAGGATCAATGCTCCCTCCGGATACCAATCTGGCTGTGTGCACTATTGAGAAGGCCAATGCTCTTGTGAACCGGCTGCTGGAGGAAGGGCGATTGGGAGAGGTGGCAATGGTGGTGGTCGACGAGCTTCATATGGTAAAGCCATTGCTCTCGTCTTGTTAGGGTTTGCTTGTTCGTTTGGTGCACTGCTTCAGACATGCAGTTTTGCATGCGTACATGCATGTGCCAGTCCATCTACAAGCCGACTCACAAATGCATTTGCCATTCCGAATCATATCCAGGTTGGAGATCCTGCAAGGGGTTATCTTCTTGAGCTGCTCCTGACCAAGCTGCGGTATGCTGCAGGCCTGGGCTCTTCATCCGCTGGCAAGAGCTCCCCTCCTGATGGTGCTAAAGGGGGTGGGACCAAGCCTCTTGCAGCTGATGCTGCTGGTGCTTCAAGACCAGCCAAAGGTGGTGATCGAGGAAGCCCCTCTACAGGAGCTGGCTGGGGAAGTAGTGGCAAGACGGAGGGAGAAGGGTTGCAGATTGTGGGGATGAGTGCAACGATGCGAAACACTTTTGCCATTGCAAAGTGGCTGAACGTAAGTGTTAATCTCACTGCTCATCTCCCCTGTTTTGGTCGTACTCTCTTAAAGCCTGTCTTTTACGTCCCCCATGAGCTTTCCATCTGATCTGATGCATGATGCTAAGGCTTAATCATTCACTTGTGTGTGCTATGGTTTCAGGCTGTGCTCTATGAGACTGACTTCCGGCCAGTTCCCCTGCAAGAGTTTATCAAAGTTGGGAACACGATCTACGACACCTTCATGAACCCCTTTCGCATCGTGCCGCCGAACCCAGATGACAAAGATAACCTAGTCTTTCTGTGTAATGAGGTGAGCTGTTACGTATCTACTTGTACAATCTCCTCATTGTTCCAATGATGATTAGTTTTTTTTGCCTTAAGCTCCTGAACATTCTTGCCTGCGATTTATTCCACGTCCCTTACTAAAAGTTTCGGTCTTCTGTTCCAACTCCTGCTTCCGACCCAGGTTCTGAGTGAGGGTCACTCGGTGCTGATATTCTGCTCAGGTCGCTCCCACTGCCAAAAGACAGCACTCCATGTTGCTAAGCTCCTGCCTCCTTTCAGACCTGTTAACCGCGGATCTGAACCAGACGACACGATCTCCACTCCAGAGGATGTTTTGGAAGCCCTGAAGCGCATTCCTTCTGGTCTTGACCCGGTTCTTGCTCAGTCCATCCCTGCCGGCGTGGCTTATCACCATGCTGGGCTGACGGTGAGTTTATTTTTTATCTTTGGTCTTGTTAGCAAGTCCTAAGGCCCTGATAGATTCAAATGTTTGAGGCATGGACCGTACACAATGTCTTCTGAGCCTGTCGATTACAAAGTTGGAGTTTCTTTTCCCTCCCTCCTTTCCTTCTGTTTTTGTTCTCTGTATCTACCCATGTCATGCTTTGCAGACGGAGGAGAGGGAAATCATTGAGCACAGCTACCGTCGCGGTATTGTGAGAGTGCTCACTGCAACGTCTACACTAGCAGCAGGTGTTAACCTGCCAGCACGCCGTGTGATACTGAGGGAGCCAAAGATGGGTATGGATCACCTGGACGCCACACACTATCGCCAAATGACGGGCCGAGCTGGGAGAGCAGGCATTGATGACAAAGGAGAAAGTGTAAGTGCCACTCGGTGCAGTGACCTGCGTTTCCTCTACACCCCCAACCTCTTACTCGCGGACCCCCCACTTCCCCCCCGCCCCTACCTTAGTGTTTTCTTCCCATTCACCTGTTTTGATTGAAATTCATTTCTAGCACAGTCCACGTCCTCTTTGCTAAAACATATGAACCTTGACACTGTTGTGTTGAAACTTCTCTCGGATTTCCTCTACTTGAACACCCTGTTTCGTATGTAACATAATGTTGTCCGCTGGGATCGCTTCAGGTCCTCATTTGCCACCCAAAGGAGGTATCGTGGGTGAAGGAGATGATTCAGCAGGGTTGCCAGCCCCTGGCTTCATGTCTGTCAGAGGCTTACAAGTGCATGTCGCGTGCACTGCTGGAGGTAGTGGCGGCAGGCATTGTGCAGACAAGCGTGGACGTTGGCCGATACGTCTCCTGCACGCTTCTCAGCACTCTGAAGTCGTTTGATGAGGTAAGCCTAATTTTCCCTTTTATAGCTTTTCCGTCTTCCGTCTCACTTTCCCATCCCTTCGTCCGCGTCTTTGCCTTTCTTTGGCACTTCAACCTCGTTCTCCTGTGGTACTTTCGCCTCTTCACCTTTTCCACTTACAATATTCAATTCCTGATCCCATTTCTGTCGCTTGCGTTAGCCATGATTCGTTCGGATCTTCTCTCACCTAGTACCTTGTTTGGCAGAATAATGCCCATAAGCGGCTTGCATGGATGGAGCAGGCAAGTTTTTATCTGTTTATGAGCAAAGAGCTGCCACTACCATAGCGTGGAAACATGGTCATAGATGGAACATTGGAATTTCTCTGGCCTCCATTCGGGGCAACAATATTAACTGGCTGGCTGTCATTGCACGCATGCACATCTACATTCTTTCTGTGGTTTCACTGTTCTTGAGTTTTTTGCGGCCTGCCACTGATCCCCACCCACACCTACCGGTCTCCACACACTAATCCCATCACCTGCATTGCAGGTCAGTGCCTCAGCTAAGGCATCCTTGAACCAGCTCCGATCCTCATCTATGATCGAATGGAACTATGAAACACAGACCTGGTCACCTACCCCACTGGGCCAGGCAGCCTTTTGCAGCGCTATGACTCCTGAAGAGTCTCAGCTGGTCTTCAAGGACTTGGACCGTACTCGATGCTGGGGATGCCTTCTCGCCACTGACCTGCACCACTGTTACCAGGTCTGTCCGCAGTTCTGCCCTGGCTGGCGCCATTTCTGTCTTCCTTCAAAGTGGGGTATCTTCCGTTCGATTACCCCTTCATTTCCAGCATTGGTGCTTCTGTTTCCTCTGCCTTCTGCTGCTTTTCATTGCTTCTCTCTTCTCTCGCAGGTGACCCCAATTGCCACGATCATTGACCCTGACTGGAAGGTCTTCTACCAGGAGTTTCTTCGGCTCTCAGAGATCGACCAAAGGGTTGCCAAAAACGTGGGGGTGACAGAGGCATTTCTTGCCAGCAAGGCGCATGGCAGTGCCCGCACCTATATGGGGCGCTGCAGTCGCAAGGGAAAGAATGAAGTAGCAGACTCGCCAAAGGGCAGTGTGCCGATCAATAGTGTTTCAGAAACCGAGCGCGTCTGCAGGCGGTTCTTCTCAGCCCTCGTGCTGTCCCAGATTGTACAGGTGAAGATGCAAATTTAACCCAGATTTAGTTGCAATGGATGCAAATCATATGGAAGTGGCGAAATTACAGAAACGTAGCTGACGTACTTGTGCTTGTAAAGCTCACAATGGGTTTCATTCTGTCTAACTCCCATCTTTTACCGGTTACCTTGCAGGAGGCGCCTATTGGAGAAGTGTGTGACAGGTTTGGTGTGAACAGAGGGCAGGTTCAGCAGCTGCAGGATAATGCGGGCCGTTTTGCCTCCATGGTCACCTCATTCTGCGAGCGCCTGAAGTATGCGGACATGCAAGCTCTGCTCTCCAACTTCCAGCATCGCGTGTACTTTGGTGTGCGCTCCGAGATTGTGGAGCTCACAGAAATTCCCTTCGTAAAGGTGAGGTCACTTAAACACGAAAGGTTAGCTTATGACAAGTTCATTGCTCTGTACGCAGTTCCCTTCACATTAACGTCCTGCTGCGGCTGTAGCATTTGCCATCGTCCTTTTCTTGTGTGTTTCTCGTTTACCCTTCCCGTCAATCGAATGAGGACATATTTTTGGCTGGCTGCTGTTTTTCCTCCTCTGTGTTCTCTGCTGACACCCCATCAGGCTGCACGTGCACGTGCCCTGTACAAGGCAGGTCTGCGGACCACAGAGGCTGTGGCAGAGGCCTCTGCTGCTGAGATCGCAAAAGCTCTCTCTGATTTCTCATGGGGAGGTACGTGTGCTCGATTCGAACAGTTAACGCCTTCTCTCTTTCTGCACCATTCGATAAATCGATTTTCTCACAAAGCATGCATGCTTCTGTGGTGGTCGTTCCATCTCTTGACATCTCCACAGGCAAGGCTGCAACAGCGCGTGCTCAAGCAATGATTGCAGGGAAGATTCGCAGGGGTGAGTTTGCATCACTCGTGGACTACAATCTCCTAGCTTTTTTATTCTTCAGCTCATCCTTTTGTCTTCTACACTTCAAGAAAATTTGACACACACATACCCTTTGTTTGATTTCCAGGCGCTCGGAAGGTGCTGTTGGAGAAGGCAGAGGAGGAGCGGATACAGATGTTTACAAAGATGCGATCGCTGGGGATGAAGATTCCAGCGGGACTGGATAAGGCTCTGCATACCTTCGTTTCCCTGGATGATTCATCCGCACCAGCAGCTGCAGCACCTGAAACAGCACAAACAGCAGATGCACTGCAAAGCAGGGGTGGACAAGAGGCAGTGGGTGGTGGTGGTGGTGGTGGTGGTGATGGTGGTGGTGGCGATGGTGCTGTTGCTGGTGGGGCTGCTGCTCCTGTGAACCGTGGTGATGATAACGACCCAGCAGCAGGTATGGAGGAGTCGCCAGATGAGACCATGGATGACATTGAATTCGCTGTGGATGTGCTCACACAAGAAGAAGCTGCTGAAGACAGGGATCAAGTTCAGTCTGGAGAGGCGGATGCTCCTCCTGCTCCAGCTGTTCTGGCTGCTCCTTCTGCTCCTCCTCCTCCTCCTCCTCCACCTCCTGCTGCTGCTGCTGCTGCTGCTGCTGCTGCTGCTGCTGCTGCTGCTGCTGCTGCTGCTGCTTCTGCTACTGCTTCTGGTGCTGGTGCTGGTGCCAATGTTGGCGGTTTACCTGTTACGCCAGTTGCTGCTTCTGCTGGTGCTGCTAGTGGAGTTGCAGCCAAGTCGGGGCACGTTTTTTCACCAGGAGCTGACCCATGGGGAACAAGCCTAACAGCAACACAGCTCGTTCGCACAGTGGACAATGCTGTAGCCTGTGCCTTAGCTGGTCAATGGGAGGCTCCCTGCATGGCCAATGCTACAGGAGCAGCTGCAGCTGCTGCCAGTATCGGACTGATTGGCACCACTGCAACAACTGCAGCGGTGGGCAATCGTCCACCTACTGGTGTAACACGAGAAGCAGCACCTCCAATGCCTGCTCCTGTGGCTGCCCAAGCGCACACCCGAATGTTCTCTGGGGATTCTGCTGGAAGAGCGGGAGGTTTTGGCGCTGGAACATTGGTGCCTTGTAGCCGTGGCTCTTACGGCCAAACTACAGGCCCATCCTCAAATAATGTGGCATTAGCCCATCCTCAACCCACTTCCCACCAACATCATCACCATCATGACCAGCAGCAACAACAGCAGCAGCAGCAGCAGCAGCAGCAGCAGCAGCAGCAGCAGCAGCAGCAGCAGCAGCAGCAGCAGCAGCAGCAGCAGCAGCAGCAGCAGCAGCAGCAGCAGCAGCAGCATCAATGGAACCGTCAACCTTCCTCGCATCCTCTCCAGAGTAATCATCCTCAAAAGACCTCACACACTCAGCATCTTGCTCCGTCCACTGGCGCTTGCATGCCGAGAGATGGTCCTGTTGACGTTCACTCACTTCCCGGTGGCGTATCCCAGTTCATACGCCAGTGGGAGGAGCAGAGCGAGTACTGTGTAGACCTGCACACAGCTGGGGATTACAAGGATGGATATGGACTGAGGCCAGTGGAGCTCGAAGGGGTTTCGGTGTGTTGGAAAGGCTCCCCTGTCTTCTACCTGGCGCTGGTGGTGCTTCCCAAGATTAATCAGCAAAAAAGGGACTCCAGAGGGGCAACAAGAGTAGAAACTGATGAGCTTTTGAGACAAGGAAAGGGGGTACAAGGTGCTGGAGCTGGGGAAGCAGAGGAGGATAGGGTGGTATGGTGGCGATCAGTGGTTGATCGGTGGAACCAGGTTCGCCAGATGCTGTCACAGCAGGGCCAGAAGAAGGTCTTCTGGGATGCGAAGGTAGCTCTGATGGTGCTCTCATGCCCAGCCATACGCTGCCCTCCGGAGCTCCTCCCCCTCGAGTTTACGGCTTCCGGCCAAGGAGTGCCGGGGCAGGGTGGGGTGAATGAGTTGGCAAATGATTCAGGGGTGCAGAAGCAAGGGGGATTGCATGGCAGCTGGGGAGATGGGCAGCTTCGGCTGGATCAGATGCAGCAGCAAGGAGGAAAGAGCTGGTTGCAGTCGAAAGCACGAGGAGCAGGGGCTGGGGGTGGGATAGTGCAGGGAGAAGTGAGGCAAGGATGGGTACTGCAGCCGCTCCCAGCAGCATATGTTGCAGGCCCGATTCTTGACATGCGTCTGCTGGCATGGGCTCTTGATCCGGATGGCGAGAGCAATAAGGAGAAGACCATTGAAGAGGTTTGTCCAATGACACCCCAATGTTTCAGTTCCATATGTCCTCCTCCTTTGTGTTCCAATTTCTTTTTGTTCTCAGCACGGCATGCTTTGCGATTCCCCCCTTCTCCTCCTTCCAAACGCCTGCCATCCAGTTGCTCAAATCTCCCCCTTCCGCCCTTCACCTCATTAAGCCAAACCGACCAAACTCCCCATTCGATACTGCTGTTCGCTGTTGTCTACCCATGCATACATATACAGGCAGTGGCCAGCACACTCCCTGCAGAAGCAGCAGCCAGGGCACAGCGAGCAGGCAGGTGGCAGGCGCAGCTGGGGCGGGCAGCACGGGATGGCTGCTGCAGGAGAGCAGCGCAAGTGCGGGAGCTCAGTGATGTGCTGTGGAGGCGCCTCTTCTCCCAGTGCTTGGAGGAGCCTCTCATGCAAAACGAGATGCCACTGGTACGGCCTGGCTTCTCTGCTTGCCTCTCTGTCTTGCTCCTGCTGCTTGCTTCTCCAGCATATCCCACTCCTTTTCTCAGTGCCCAGTGAAGCACCTCGTGCCACAGTTCCCCCTAAGAGCGTATTCCTATCCTCGTATCAAGAAAACCTCATATCAAGATTGTACTTTTTGCCTGGTAAAAGTAGCGAGAGGTTTTGGGTTTAGGGGAATTTTCAGTGGGAGGTTGATATGAGGTTTTCTTGATACGAGGATAGGAATACGCTCTAAGACTCTATTGTTTTCAGTCCACTATCTCTGCCCCCTCCCTCCCTCCCTACTCCCTTCCCCCACCCTTCCAACCCAACCCCCATCCCCTGGCCTGGGCCCTTGTGTCTCTGGTCTCTATTCCCGAAATCCAGGTCCCTGTAGTCGCATCTATGGAGCTCCTGGGCGTGGGAGTGGACATGCGCCAGTGCATGCTCCTGAGGCGAGTCCTGCGGGCCAAGGTGACTGCTCTGGAGGAAGCGGCGCATGAGATGGTGGGGCGCCCCTTCATGCTCTCCAACCCCAGCGAGCTCGCCATTATACTCTTCAAGACCCTCGCTCTTCCAGTTCCCCCAACCTTTGTTGCCAAAGGGCCCAAGTCCCAGCCCGGCCCAACCGACAAGGCAGCCCTGGAGTTCCTAAAGTATGTTCCCCTTCCCTTCCCTCTTCAAGCCCTCTTGCTTGGCCGCAAGTGCTTGGCCCCACGTGTTCCCCACACCCCAATTCTGTCGTTCATTTTCTCAGTGTTCTTCATATTGAAGCAGCTCTAAGTTTCGTCCGTCCCGCTTCCGTACCGCTCTCTACCCGTTCCTGTTATGTGCATTACAGGCCAAAGCACCCAATAGCAGCCGTGATTCAAGACTATCGGTGCATAGCCAAGCTCTGTGCCACCATGAACACCCTGTTGCACCGAGTGAAAGACCAGCACGGTCTTTCAAGGGAACTTCTCAACGACTTGGAAATGCAGGCTTGTGGAGCGGACCAGAGCAACAGGGCAGAAATAGAGGGAGGAGCTGGTGACGTGGAAATGGGAGGGAAGCAAGGCAAGGGGCGGACATGCTACACCGTGCACGGTCGGTGGCTGCAGACGTCAACAGCAACTGGTCGCCTTTCCATGGAAGAACCAAACCTGCAGGTGGGATGGCTGCCGGTCTTGATCCTTAATCCAAGCTGATTTTTCCCTCCTTGCATCTGCCAACTTAGTTCCCTTGACTCACCCTTCCCCTTCCCTCCAACTTCCAAGTACCCCCCCCTCTCTCCCCCCTCCTTGCCTATCGCCCCTGCCTTTTTTCTCCCACCCTAAACCCTGTTTCTGATTGTCTGACTGGCCATCTTGTAGTGCATGGAGAAGCCGACAAGCTTCATTCTAGACGAGGATCTTCTTCCTGACTCTCTCAAGTCGGCACTTCTTAAAACGAATGGGGGTGCTGCAAACAAGGGTGCGAAGCAAGATGAAGAGGAGGAGAATGGGGGAAATGAGGGGAGTGAGAAGAGGTGGTGTGAGGCAGTAGTAGTGGGGCTGGTGGAGGGTGGCAGCAGCAGTGGGGCAAAGCGGCAAGTGCGCTTGGAGATCAACCCACGTGCAGTGGTCGTCCCATCACAGGTGCTTAAAACCAGTGAACAGAGACTCCAGAGGTCCTTACAAATCCTCCTTTGTTCTTTTAGGCCCCATACCCCCTGCCTTTTGGGTGGTTGTGTCCTTTCCGGACACAAACATCGACCCATGCACACAACCATTCTCGTTTCCATGCTCTCAGTTCCCATTCCACATTCTCACACTAATGCCTTACCACTCGCCATACTTCACTCATCGAACATCACCTCACCATTCCGTGTGTCCCATTCTCCCATCTACCCTCCACCATTCTCCATACAGCCATCTCGGCTCCTCCTCGTGGCAGATTATTCTCAGATTGAGGTCCGCCTGATGGCTCATTTCTCCAAGGATCCAGCCCTCATCTCCCTCCTCTCCCGCCCCTCTGGAGACCTCTTCCGCACCATGGCTGCCTGCTGGTCCGGCACTCCCGAGCCTCGAGTCACCAGTGCGGAGCGGGACCGAACCAAGCGCCTGTGCTACGGGCTACTGTATGGCATGGGGAACAGTGCGTTGGGTCACCAGCTTGGATGCAGTGTGGAAGAAGCTAGCAAGTACAGGAAGAGGTTCTTGCAGTCGTTCCCAGATGTGGATAAATGGCTGGACAGGGCTGTGAAGGAATGCAGGAGTAAAGGGTACGTATGTTGGAATTATGCATGTGCTGTGAATCTCAGGGCAGGACGCTGGCTTGGGTCTGCTCGTACCGCTCGTTTCATTACAATTTTTTTTATCTTGCAATTTTGCGTTTCACTGGTGTTGCAGGTATATTCAGACGCTATGTGGGCGGAGGCGTTTCTTGGAGAATATCAACAATAGGAGTAGTGCAGACAAGGCCAAGGCACAACGCCAGGCTGTCAACTCCATCTGCCAGGTAGGTTAGGGAAATGGGTCTCGCCTTTCAAGCATACCCTTGCCACACGCATTTGCTCGCAGCACTCTTTGCGCGTGCTTTCCATGTCACAAGCGCCGTCATGTTTCTCCTTGTTTGCTCTCCTGCCAAGGCTATTCCCACGTCCCGTCATATACTTTCTGAAGCGACCTTGTTACTCACTACCTCATATGCCTCTTGTCTGACTCTCTGGTTGCTTGTTCCCAACAGGGATCGGCAGCAGACCTCATTAAACTGGCCATGGTCCGCCTTCAGGCAGCTATAGCCCCACCTGCTCACACCCAGCCAGCAGCATCAGCACCACCACCAGATACAGCAGCACCGGCAGTTGATCTTGCAGCTCCACAAGCCGCAGCTACAGCAGCTATCACAACAGCACAGGGTCAACAAGCATCCACCAGTGTGCTAGCGGTGGCTGTGCTTCCACAATCATCATCCTCGATTCTCACCCCTCAGCAGCAGTTCTCTCATGTTCAGTGCCCCTCCGTTCTCCCTCCTGCTGCTGGGGCATCATCCCTTGCAGGCCACTGCAGGCTGGTTTTGCAGGTAACTTTCTCCTCCACAGTGAGCCATTTTTTCCACCTCTTGCCTCACGTCTCCCACATCCCTCTTCCCTTTTCCTTTTAACCTTTCAAGGCAGAGCATGTGACATGTTGCCTTGGCTCTTGTAATGGAACTGGTAATCTGCAAACCTTATCTTTTGTTACTGGTTGTGGTGGTTGTGTGTGTGTGTGTGTCAGATCCATGATGAGTTGGTGCTTGAGGTGGAGCGACCCTACCTGCAGCCTGCAAGGGAGCTGCTACAGGCGTGCATGGAGAATGCCATGACTCTCGCAGGTATTGTAAACTGTGAGCTGTAAGCTGCAGTGGATTAGGCGTGATGGCGAAGTTCCAGTGCTCTTGTCCTTGCACTCAATGTTGCAGCAGCAATTGTAACGATTACCGTACCTCCTCCGTTGCCCCTTGCTTCGCTCTCTGACCGTCCACCCTCTCTTCCTCTATGCCTTGCGTGCCGGTGTTGTGCTTCATCCGAGCAGTGCCATTATCAGTGAAGCTGCACGTGGGAACATCGTGGGGCACACTTGTTCCCATTGTTGACTGGAAGGAGACATGAGAGGCATCAGAAGCACGACGGGTTTGCTGATGGTTTTGTTGGAAAGGAATAACCAGCCGTGTTGCACTTTCAGCTGGAGCAGTTCTGAAGTGAATGTACTGAAATTATCTCTGGAGTCTCTAGCTGCGAAAGCTGTTATCATACACAAACTAGATTCTTGACTGCTCTCGGCATGGCTCCTGGTACGGTATGAAATATCATGTATGGAACAGTAGCTTTGATTGTTTATTGTTGATGGTTAAGGTATACATGAGACACCAGTACCGTATCAGCAGCCGTCCATTAGTGATCCTTTACAAACTTCATCACTGATTCGTGGCAAACAGCAATGATAAGCTGACTGACCTGCCCTGCCAAGGACAGCAGTTTTTCAAGTCTTTCTACACGAGATTCCTGAACAAAAAAGGCCAGCAATGGCTCACAATATACAGTGCTGTAAGTACACACTAGGCAATCTAAAGCTTGTAACACAAGACATGCCTATTCAATATTGCATTGATTGGACAAAGCGCATGCATGTGCTGAGCAGCATCAGCAACTTAGCAACATGGTAGAACATGTAACGTTGGGTGGAACTGGGTGTATGTATACCCTCCTCGTGTATGTAAGAGCACACAGTGGCGAGCAGTTGCACGGGAGGCTGGGCCATGCCATGCCATGCCATGCAGCACACCAGCACAACAAGGGGGGTCAGCGGCCATACTTCTGGAACTCCCACTCGCTGTTGTCTGTAAAAAAAGAATCCCAAAAGAAAAGTAAAAATAATGTCCATGGGAGAGGGGTGCAGTGAGCAAGATCCTCAAGGCATAATCCACAATCACTAGTCAACCATAACACTTGAGATTTCTTCTTTCTTTCTTTCTTTTCTTTTTCCTTTCCGTGGTACTCAGTCTCAAGTTGCAAAATACTTTCTGGCGCGTCCCAGGGAGACAGCGCAGATTAGGGCTTGCGGCCATAGAAGAGTGTACTGACCTAGAGGGCAGACTTGGCGTGTCTTGAGCCACCTACTGATGCAGTGGAAATGGAATGCATGGTTGCACACACCTGAGAGGAGAGAGGGAGGGCAGAGTGGGAGCAAATGGAGAGGTAGGAAGAGGAAAAAAAATAATGAAGGACTGAGTATGCTGCGAATAGACGGAGGAAGAGAGTGTCGGGAAGGAGAGGAGGGGCGAAAGAAGGCACAGAAATATATTTCAAAGAAATTGCGACAAGACAAGAGGAAAAAACAAAAGGACGACTCAAATGACCAGGCACTCCTCAGTCATGCACAATAGGCGGGCAGCAGGTACATGAACAAAAAATAGCAAAAGAAGGAAGAAAGGGAGGAAGTCTCACCCCATGCCACAGTGCACTCGTCACTCGTAGCGCTCGCTTGATTGGCCTGGCACTCAATGCCTGCACCAAAAATTGCACGGAGAAGGCGGGAAACGAGGGAGAAGGGGGGTAGGAGAGGGAGGGGGCGCGGAATGGGGGAAAGGCGGGGGAGGTCAACGTAAGGCACAGGCAGAGTTCGTGTCAAGGGCGAGGGAATGATGACGAGATGGGAGAAAGGAGAGATTACGGAAAGAAAGAAAGTGACAAAACAAAAATCTGAATAAAATTGCAGAAAGAGAAAAAGGGAAAACCAAGAAGCCACCATTGTTAATTCAGATAGGGAAGGACTACGTGAATAAAAATATCTAAACGAAAAAAAAAAGGAAACTCTGTTCCGCACTCACACTTGTCCATAATGTGATTACGGCAGATGGCACAGTTGTCAACCACGATATCTGCAGGCATAAGCACAGACGGAAGCAGTCACAAGACGGAAACAAGAGCGAAAGTAGGAACCCTACGTGGGAAATAGGCAGGAACGAGCTACGCGCTCGATGATGAGGGCAGGCATATACACGCCGTGTGAGACAAAAAGCGCCGATTCTCATCGATAAGATTGATCGACGGGTGACGACACGGGGTCGAATACTCGAGAACACTTGGACGATAGGGACGACAAGACTAGCAGGCGACCCAGACTCATTCTAATATTGAGGCGACTAAAAAAAAAGGTTGTACAATCAAGGTGACGTGTAACTCGACTCAACAGGCTGATTAAACGATGCGACAGCGCACGATCCAGCTCTTATAAAAACGTGACACGTCAATCAACACGTCATTCGCGGGGATTCCTAAAAAAACACGACGCAGGCTAAGCCAGGAAGAGGCAAGGGGAAGCGGCAGCAAAACTACAGGACGTCAGTGAATCATAACTGAACTGGCACCAACAAAAGGAGAGACTAGAGAAAGGCGGCAACAGCAGCAGCAGCAGAAGCTACGCACCCCAGGCCCATAGCGCGACCGCGTTCCACTTCTTGATCTCAAACCGCCTGGCCTTCTTCGCGCCGGAGCTGGAACCCTCGCCGCCTGTCGCAAGAGGCATGTCAACGTCCACGCCAGCCATGGCTGCTGTTATAAACGGAGTTTAAAGTTGATATTAAGTCGAGATCTGAGATTTCAGACTGTCAAACTTTATGTCTTCACTGCTTTACAGTTGCTCTGTATCTGCCCGGCGTTTTATAACTGACTTGGAAATCTATGGCTGCCTGGTGTGAGGCTTGCTCGTACAGTTCAGTTCTGTATCTGGGTTGAAGAGAGAAAGAAACAGGTTCGTCAGATGGACACGGCAACCCTCATCCGCGATAAAGGGCTGGACGCGCTACAGTGAAGGAAAATCTACGGAGGTTTTACGCGAAATGCACTCTTGGTTATGGATTTCGGGTCTCAACTTTCTTGTTTTCGCTGAGCTTCACGACTTCTGGTTACCACATGAAGGCACTAGTTCCGCACTTCCAAGGAAAGAGGGGGTCAGAGGTGCCCGCCCGCTCCCCCCAACGCGCCCGAACCATAAGCCCCTATCAGTTCCCCCTCCGCGCACTCAACCCATGCGCCAGCCAGAAATCATGGGGGTCTGCTTGAACGGGTAAGCTTAGGGCGTGTCCAGCGCGTAAATTTTGGGAATATTAGTACCTTCACACGTTTCCCGGCTCAAAAAATTTCACTGTACCAAAAAACGAATATAAGGTGAGTCGAGTCCGAAGGATTGGGCCTTCCAGCGCGCGGACACAACCCTCTGCACACAAATTTCTACAGTTCGTGGAAAACGAGGTAACTGGTTGCCTCGTCTATCATCGCACAGAAATTCACGCACAAGCGAAAATTCCACGCTTGAACGAAAATTACTGTAGCGGGCAGGACGCAATGCTGTACCCTTGTTCGCGCGCACACTGATTCCAGTAACGTGTGTTAGACGATTCGTCGTACGCGCAGCGGGCGTGCCGTCTTGTGAACGGAAGCTGATCGTGTCCAACCTTTTTGTAAAATGCAGTGTTACAATAGGAAATGTGGTAACTGAATGGGTTTATGAACTGTAAATGTACGCGCTGGACACGCCCTTAGCACTACTTGGTAAAAAAACATCCAGCCATGGCGTCTTCCCGAACAGGATGGTATATCAGACGAGGCTGTGGTATGCGCTAGTTTCGAGGTTTTCACACGTTGTTCTTTCGGATTCTGTTTCTCATTCTGCCTGTAAGTAGCGTTGTTTTCCGCGACTCGGCATCCGCGACGTGTCTCCCGCTGCGGTATTTTCGACTTCGTCAACCATTTCTGACCCTGATGAGCTTTTCAGCTTTCCAGCAATGATCGCCTACCTGTCCGCAGGGTAACTCCGCCGCGAATAAGCGGCGATGAGCATGTATTCGGTAACTCGCCTTCGTTTCGCCCATCTTCGCAGCGCTCATACTCGCGTCCATCCTGAACCTCCCGCTCGAAATGTTCCCACCACCGATCCATCTCGATCCAAGTCTTTAATATCCCACCACCCTTTCTTCTGTTAACAACCGCGCCATACCGCAGTATCATCCGCAGCAGTCGAACACAACCAGCATAGATCATCATACTCGACTTAGAATCGCTCACATTCGTCGTCGAAGCGCATTTTAGGCACGCGTGCTGGCGTGCAGGCGTGAAGGCCTGCTGACAGCCTGAACGGCCTAACATATGAGCTACGATCCAGGCTGTTATCTCCTATTCCAGCCACTACACCTTGCGCAAGCACACCCGCCCTGCCCGTGCGCGCTGTAGCCCGCTCGTCACCCGCCATGCCTCTCCCCGCAGCTGATTCCGCATTCCGCGGCTCTATCGGCTGCGTCGCGTCCTTGCGCCGTCCCCCGGCCTCCCCGCAAAGTCTCTTCGTTTTGCTCTCCCCTCCGCCTCCGCCTCCGCCTCCGCTTCAGCTTCCGCTTCCGCCAGGAAGAGCGATGACCCCGCGGATGTTCCGCGCAGGCTGTGTCGCGCGGAAGCTCACGGCCAGAGCCTCCGATACTGTCACCTCCGGAAGGCTCACCAGCACGAGATATGTGACTATACCGCGGGCTGGTTCAATTAGCTACAGATATTCGGGTATTAGCGCCAGGAGAACAGTACAGTCGGTTGCGTGGCGGCTAGCCGTTTCCGCCGGCAGGGCTAACGGCGTCAGCGACTCTTGCAGCCTTCGCGAATCCCTTACTTCTAGCGGGTTTAGCGGCGCTCGAGACTTACGCGGCCTGAATGCTAGCATTTATAGCTCAACAGATGCGTCGACACGCAGTAAACGAGGCTTTAAGAGCGGTTGCTGCCAGTGTAGCCTAGAGGGGACGCAACAGAACACAGTCGGAAGCAGCAGCAGCAGCAGCAGCAGCAGCGGCAGTAGGGGCAATGGTAGCAGCAACG